TGCACCAGGTCTGTTAGTAAGGGCTATTCTTCAGGGTTCTGATATTCAAAATTATACCAGAGTTAAGATAGTGTGCACCTATTTCTAAGAACTCAGAAAACAACACACCAGAACAGATGGGTTCTCAAGGCAACCCACCCAGTTTTAACTTTGTTTATTTACTTTTAGATATGCAAACAAGTTATACTTGGTTTTACTTCCAATTGGTCAAGAAATTGGCAGTAATGTCTAACAATGGAAAGCCAATATGATGATAATTAGTTATTATAATAATTTACAGAAAACTATACCATAAAATTTGACACTGAGTTACTGAAAACAACTCATACTTCATAATATGGGATTAACACAAACATGCTGGTATACATTTGGCAATTTATTTTCCAATTGTATACCTGGCCATCCATCCAACATTGTGGCCTTTCTGTGCTGCTGGAACTGTTTTTTGTGATAAATTTTTTTTGTTTTTAATTTACTGTGGTGTAACTTTCCCTAATCCCACTGCTAACTGTGGAAGAGGGCAGACTAATACAGAGGGTTTCCACCAGCAGCCTACATGCAGTTTTCTTTTTGTTTCCAACCAAAATTGATCATCTCAAGGTAATATTTGTCTCTGTTGACAGGAATCAGCAAACTAGCAAAAATGTGTCATTTTGGCTGATCCAGAATTATCCTTAGCCATTAGTTGCCCCCAAGCGATGGGAGGTGATGGAAATTCTATGGGCTAGGGATCTAAAAAAGGCTGCCAAATGGTGCAAAGAAAAGTATTGAGGCTAAATTACATGCCTAATATGATTTTCATGTTTTCACATGTGGATCATTATTAGCAAGTATTTCCTCTGACGAAAACATTGCTAGAGTTAAACACTTGCTAAATTTTGGCATCTGTAATTTAACACAATAGCTGCCACTGTCACCAAGAAACAAATATCTTTTAACTGAATTTCAACTCTGGTTGACTTTATTTTTTAAAAATGTGTGTATATTTAAGTAAGTTAGTTACTTACTTATTCATTTAGTTATTCATTTAGTTATTTACTTATTTAAGTCTTTTTGTTTTGATTGTTCTGAATGTTATTGCTGTGAGGACAATTAGGAGAAGCCTATCTTAGACAAAACCTTTTCATATATTTTCCTTGATCAGAGCTATAAAGTCGGTGAAGAAAATTGTCATCTAATCAATTCATCTAACAACTTAAGGGCAATCTTCAGGCTCTACATGTACATCACTGGACTTGGCATAGCCAAAAAGCTAAGAAACATTGCTGAGAAACATATTGTGACTTTGTAAGTTTCTTGCAACCTAAACTACAAGGTTAGGCCTTCATCACTAGCAAGAAAGGTTATGTTATAGGACAGTATGTTCTTAAGTAGGGAAACTGGTCATAACTATTGTGTATAGGAAGGTCCTCAATTGAAAAAAAAGCCAGGTGGCTCTTGTTGTCATCCCCATCCAGCAATACACTTCTTGAATATCTTCACAAAAGTAAATACTGGGAAAGAGCACAACCTCCCGTTGTTGTTTTACTAGCCCACTGAATCATTTTCAATTCAATTTTTTTTCATTTAAACCCTATCCCCTTTATTCCTGACTTCCCTTAAAGGAAACATATTAAAGAGGCCAGTAATGCCATTAGTTCTGTTGTTGTTGGTCCACTTGTGGTGTTGCTGTCCAAGCATTATTGAGCATTGACAAGTAACATTGGAATTTCTTGCTTTGTAGCTACTTCATGCAGGATTTGGCCAAGGGAATAAACATCACTGGCTTTGCTACAATGTGTGCCATTCAGAACTTCAGGAGCAATGTGCCTATAGTGAAAAGTGTACTTCTTTGCCGGGGGAAATGAACTGTCACAGGCCTTTCCAAAGTCTATAATTTGGCCATGTTTATCAGTTACAAGAACATTGTTTGATTTGAGACCACAAGCCTTTGGAGTGAATGTGAGTGGGAGCATCTGTGATATCATGACAAATGATCAGCCAGTCTTTGCTTGTCAGTGAACTGTTAACTTTCTCTAATATACCATTGGATTCTTTGCAATACAATAGTTTACTGACTGTTGTGGATGTATTTTCTTCCCCTTTGAACTCCATCACTAGAGATATAGGCTCTCTTTCAAGCTGGATTCCTATTATTGCAGGAATGTTTTTGTGTGTGAGAGTCTACATGATTTGTGCCTCCTTTATCATCTCTTAAGTGCTTTGCATCAGACATTGTTTTTCTACCACAAGAACGTTTAATCTTTTGAAAGATTTTAAAATGCACCGGCCATATGAACCCTGTCCTAGTATTAATTCATTTTCACTGATTGGTTGAAGCTCAGATGGATCAATTAAATTAACAGTGGCAAATTTGCTACTGGGTGGTCCTGATTTTGTATTCCTGTCTCTAATCTGGAATGAAGTAATAAACAGAGGAAAAGTGAAGCTGGTCAGCTTAATAAGATTCTCATGCTAGATTGTGTAATAAGTGGTAATAGGACTGAGTAGTCTTTGGTCTGTAA